ATGTAAATATAATTATATATAAATATAATTTTTCTGTATAATTTATTTTATATATAAAAGTAAAAATATGTAATTTGTATTTTTTTATTTAACAGTAAATTGGAGACATCTCTCCAGACAAATATATACAGTTTTACATCAGATTTTTTAATCTAGAGTATGAATTTACTACCATTTATCCAACTGCTCCTCAAATGATGTACATTCTGGTGATTTTCAGGTTTTTGCTACCAAATATAATACTGCACTAAACACACTTGTGATTGCAGCCTGTTTTAATTTTATCATCATGGATATCTGAGACTTGAAATATAACATTTCTAATGCCACTTCCTTTCCTCCCATTCTCCCTGTCATTTGGAGAATGGAACTGAAGGGAGACTGAAGATGAGCTGTGAAAGCCAATACAGCACATGGCTAGCAACCTCCTGCTACGATATTTACATCCTATTCCATTGAGGTGGCACTCTCTGCTCACATGACCCAAATGCAGTTCGCGCTCCACCAAGAACACAGCTGAATCCTAACTGCATTGGCAGCTTTGCACATGCTCTGTCTGGCCCTGTGAATCCTCACTCACCCATTGAGATTTCTGTTGATTTAAAGCAACATTCCCGCTGCTGAAACTCCGTGACCTCCAGAGTTTTCATGGCCCAGATTTAAGGCAGGCGACCCCCAAGAATACTGTTTTTCAGGATCTGAGTTTTTTTGTATATTTGGTCGGGGGTGGAGGGTATGTAATACTTAACACAAATATAGCTGACGAATGAGGCTGTGAGAAGTAACTCTTTTCCTGGCGGGTATTGTAGGAAAAACATTTACCTATTTCTATCATTTGCCTCGACAACAAGCTGCAGCTCTAATGCACATTTAATTCCCAAACAGAGGTCTTGGCAAGTGATGCTGTATCTGACTGTTGTGTTGACTGTAACGAGTGAGATGCTGTTTTCTCCTCTCTAGAGACCTGGATGCTTTTTGCCATTCTGATGGTAAATGATGCGACAGGCAACCATGGATTTCAGCACTCCATCTGTGTTTGATCAGCAAAAAGGTAAAAATGCTGCTTTAACATATCCTTTGGCTTTTTCACATCTTTATTCCAACAGTAGTGATTTGCAGTTGTATGGAGAGAGGAAGGGTGTGTGTGTGTGTGTGTGTGTGTTGTGGAAAGAGGATTTCACATAGAAAACAAACCTGTTTTAAATAAGCTTGTGATCTGTTTGTCTTGCTAAAGTGCTTTTGCCTACAAATTTTAAAAAATTAGGTTTCAAGCACACTGGCTATTTCAGATAGTATCATCTTCATTCTCATTTGTTTTGTTTTCAAATCTCTGAAAAATATATTAGAGTAAGTAAAATAAAAAGAAACAAATTATAGTAATATTTTATTACTATAGTTTCATAACATCTCAATTTCTTTCACAAATAGGTGTTGCCCAGATTTGCACTGTAGTTGATATATTATCTCATCTGAGGTAATGACTTATCACTATTTATTATTTGCAATGACAGCATACATCTTTCTTACTCATAATTTTCAGAGTAGAGGTAATTTTCCGTATGAAAGGATTGTTGTGAAATTGACTCATAAAAACGTATTCAGCCATGAAGTCTGTGTGTACATTCTGCATATGAAGAGTGTATATATACATATACACAATACCTATGTGTAATTATGCATTTTTTCTACATATGTACAGGAAATTCTCATTCTGTAAGTGTAATAAATATTTTTAGCATATATTTTTAAATATCTGATATCTAAACCACTTTCTGCAATCTCTGAATATTCTTCAGTATATTCTAAGAATATTTCAAGGTCCTTTGGTCATTTGCTTGTTTTGGCTAAAACATAAAAATGGTGGTTTATGAAAGCCTCATTAAGAAAATTCACTGCTTCTTTCTTTTTTCCTTTTCTTACTCTAGATCATAGCATGTTTACTTCCCTTTAAGCTATGTCTAGTTTCATGAGTGAATTATTTTAGCTCAGTATTTTCTCAATTAATAGATTTTTATTTAGATTTTTGAGTAACCATATGTATGTGTATATTACATATGGTTTGATCTCCAGGTCTTAACTCATTTTGAATAGTGCGTGTGTGTACCTTCAGAATGTGCTGGTTCACACTGCGTTTGGGTACGGACACCGTAGAGAATGTGATTGTTACAGCTGTGCCCACCATTATCCTCTCCTCTTTGTACATTTTGTATCACTGATGGCAATCCGCGAAAGTGAAAATATGCCTGGATCCAAAGGCCTCATAGCAGCTTTAAAAATGATGTTGTTGAGCTATGCAATCCAAAGAGGAACACAATTGGTTTATGAGTAATTTGAAGGAGCTAGAACTGACTGCAGAGAACTAGCCCTTCATAATGAATTAAGCGGTTCTGTGTGTAACTCCTAACAAGACTGAGCCCAAACATAGTTAAAAAGTTAATATACAATATTTATTTTCTTAGAGTATCTCTCAAGTGAGCAATTCACAGCAATTCTTCCACTCTAGGCTTGATTCTCTCCCAAGTAAGTTAACCCTTTGCCTGCCATCTCTGCCTCTATTTCTCAATCTTTTCTTTCAAAAAGTGGTGGCAATAGCATGAGCCATATAAGTTGGAATGGCAGATGAACTAACTCTTAGCTGTGTGACCTTTGGCAATTTACCTAACCTCTCTGAGCTCTAATTTCTTCAGCAATAAAATGAAAGAAATGATGCTTATCCAGCAGGGTTGTTGTGAGATTCTAAAATAATATTAAAAAGCACCTGTCACAGTGCCTGATGTGCAATGTACTTTCAAATTGTGGCTGCTTATGTTATTATTATTGCTGTGATAAATATTACCACCCTGGACCATGAGTTCCTCAAGTACAAAAGACTATTCACCTCTCTATCTCCAGCTTGAATTTAGTTGTCCTCAGGACAAATGAGGGCTTAGTTAATGCCAGTTAACTAGATTATATTAATATTTTTTGAATTCCAGGGTACCATTTAGAGCAACCCCTAGAATAATTATTAACTAAATGATATCTGAATAGCTCTATTATCTCATTAATCCTTCCATCTTCTTAAAAGTATGAAAGACCATGATAGGTTTAGACCATTATACAGATTTAAAATACCATATTGTTGGTCAAACCATGACAAAGTGGTTTTCTTTTGAAAAGTTGAGTGTGGGGCTTTTTTTAGTGTGAATTCTGAATATCTGGGGAATCGAAACTCTAATATCCACTGGCTCTTCATGCAGACATTGACTAAAGACATTACATCTGGAAAGACATTAAAAGTCATGTAATCCACTGATTCTTAAACTTGGCCGCACATCAGAATCACCTGGACAGTTTCTGAAAACGCTGATGCCTGAATCTCACTCTTGAGATTTCCATTTAATTGGTGTAGGTAATGGGCTGACAAAAACTCCTCAGGAAGTTCTAATGCACAGCAAAGATTGAGAACCACTCATCCAATCCACCCCCCTAACATCTCACATAGGAAAAGTAAAGCACGGAGAGGTTAGAAGGTGGGCCTTTTTAAAATAATGATAACACAGCTAATTAGTAAGAGATGGGGGCTGAGACTCAGGAGTTCTCTATCTAGACAATAGAACTACAGGGTGCTTCCTTTTATGGGTGATCTCTGGCCCTAACAGCTGCTCTGGGATGGGCATAGGATTCAGGCAGATTTGGCTCATGGTTGCCCAGAGAATGGTTAGCGTTGTGCACTTGAAAAATATGATACATAATGACCTTCAGGGCTCGGACAAGGTGGATCTGCTAAGCCTAAATTCCTCTGCAAATCCAATTGCATTTTTCTATATTTCTCTTTAGTAGCGGTAACAAGACATCTCTATGCCAAGGGCTTGGGAATAGATGGTCATTTGCTCAAGTCCTTCCTGTCTGTCCTCTTCCCAGTATCATGAACTTGGACAAACTGATTGATCTCCTCATTTGTAAAATGTGGATAATATTATATAGTCACAGTGTTGCTGGGAGGCTTAAAGATTAGGTTTTCTGACTGGCCAAGGGGATTAGGGCCCCATCTCTGACTTACTTTGTGAAATTGTGAGAGATTTCCACTCCTGCATGGTGCTTTTTGCTTTCACCATAGCAACATCTCTTCTGGTCCCACGTGCTCTTCCTGGCTTTCTTCCGTCTCAAAGCCCACACACAGGAAAGGACCTGTAGTAAAACTGTTTACTACAGAACTCCGAGGTTCCTCCTGAAGCTGAGATATTATGTAACTGGAGATATTTGCACTTTAAGCTTTGTCTCCAATTGTGGAAGGACAAGCTTTGCTGTGCCTGAGAAGGAACCCCAGGCCTCAGAGAGAAAATGGGAGTGAGAAGTGTGATCCAAAGGGCTTCATTCACCCCTGGCCTGGCCCAGGTTCCGTGAGAAATGTGCTTGCTGGACAGTGTATTTGCAGGTACCTGTGGGGGCTGTGGCTCACTCTCACAGATTTTTCTCTGGCAGAGTTGTTGAGGGAATAAGAGGAGGGGCTCAGCCCTCCAACCCAGATTAATACAGAGCATTGCTGTCCTAGATGCCGTAACAAATTACCACAAGCTGGGTGGCTTAAAACAACAGACATGAATTATCTCATAGGTCTGGAGGCCAGAAGTATGAAATCAAAATGTCAGCAGTGGGTGCACTGCTTCTGCAGGCTCTGGGGAAGAAGCCTTCCTTGCCTCTTCCAGCTTCTGGCTGCTTGTGGCCTCATCACCCCAGTCTTGTCTCTGTCTTCACATGGCCTTCTCTGTGTGCCTCAGTATTATCTCATAGTTCTGGAGGCCAGAAGTATGAAATCAAGATGTCAGCAGTGGGTGCACTGCTTCTGCAGGCTCTGGGGAAGAAGCCTTCCTTGCCTCTTCCAGCTTCTGGCTGCTTGTGGCCTCATCACCCCAGTCTTGTCTCTGTCTTCACATGGCCTTCTCTGTGTGCCTCTCTCTTCTGTCTCTCAAAACTCTCTCTTTTCTCTCTTAGAATGATATGTGATTACATTTAGGGCCCACCCAAATAATCCAGGATAAACTACTATTCTCAAGATCCTTAACCTAATCACATCTTTTGACATATAAGGTGATATTCACTCTTTTGCTATATAAAGTAACATTCACAGGTTCTGGGGATTAGGGCATGGATATATCTTCAGGGCCACTATATGTTTAGCCCACTACATGGCATGAAAAGAGGTCAAATCTCAAGTCCCTTCTCAGAAAATATGTAGCCTTATGACTTGGTTTTGGTAAAAATCCATTTTCATTTAAGCTGGAAGGAAATTTGGCATTTGAGACCTGGAGTGGAAATGGCATCTTTTTGGTGCAGACTCTGTGTAGGCACTTTGCATAGATTACATCATGATAAGACCTAATGTTTATTAAGCACTAAGCAGAGCCAAGCTTTGTGCCAGGGACTGTACATAGACTAACTCATTTAATCCTCACATCAGCCCCACTATTATTCCTCCCTTTGACCAATAAGGAAATTCAAAAAGTTTGTGACTACCCAAGGTTACTGCAAGACAAAATGGCAAACCTGAGATTCAAGCCTAAACCTGCTTGACTTCAAAACCTGTATTCTCCCTACTACAGGACTCTTTCTTGATCAACCATAAATTTTAGTGAAGAAATAAGACATCAATAAAAATTCAAATTAATGAAGGATATATTTTCATTAGTAGGCTGTTACCCCATTGTGTTGTGGACTTAGCAGGGTTGATGTGTTGGTTTTAATTTCCAACTTTTCATCTAAAATGGGAATGCTAACCAAGTAGAACTTAAAGTACACAGATTTGCACTTTGCTGGAAAAGCAAAATTCTGGTGTGCCAACCAGACACCTCCAAAGGAAAAATAAGCAGATTTTGAAAGGGGTTTGGGAAGAGAGCAGAGAAAAGGCAAGAAAAGGAAAAAGGAAAGAGGAGATGATTTGGGCTCAGTGAATTATTTTAGGTTCACAGACCTTCCTGGGAATAAAACCCAGGAACACTGAGGAGAATTCTGTGATTGATTTTCAGATCGATGGTCCAGATAGAGGAAGATTAGCTGGCAAATGACCAGTCC